GCCGCCTTGGATCCCGCAGCAACGACCGTCGGCTCATTGAACCCGCATCGCTGTGGAACGACCCACTCGTCTCACCAAACACGGCAGCAAAATCCAAGCATCAAAATGGCAGTACTGCACTGCTCGCTCTGGAGAGCCTCAATGATCAGCCTCTAGAGAGCCTCAATGATCAATGGGACCCTCTTGCGCCGTCTTGGGCGGCTCTGGGGCCGTCTCGGGGCTCTCTTGGGCCGTCTTGGGGCCCTCGTGGGGGCCTCTTGGGGCCTCTTGGGAGCCTCACGGGACCTCTTGGGGGCGGAGAGCTTGATTTTTCAGTTCGCGTTCCCTCTCTTGGGCCCCTCTTGGGGCCAATTTGGGACCCTCTTGCGCCGTCTTGGGCGGCTCTGGGGCCATCTCGAGGCTCTCTTGGGCCGTCTTGGGGCCCTCTTGGGGGCATCTTGGGCCGCCTGGGAGCGGTTTTGGGAGCCTCTGGGGCGGTGGGTGCTTTAGCGCCCCGGGAACATGAACAACGAGAATGCAAAAAAAATAAGCAAAAATGCAAATCAAGCAAACGATTTTTGCACTCTCCGTGCGCTCTTGCGGCATCTAAAAAAAAAAAGAAAGGCCTCTTGGCGTCTTGGGGCGGCCGGGCAGTGTAAAAAACGCAACGAGGCGTCCTCTTGGGGCCTCGTGGAACCTCCGGGGCTTCCTGGGGCCTCTTAGGGGCAATCTCGGAGGCTGAGAGCTTGATTGTTCACTTCGCGTTCCCTCTTTTGGGCCTCTTTGGGTCTTTCTTCGGACCCCCTTGTGCCGTCTTGGGCGTCTCTGGGGCCATCTCGGGGCTCTCTTGGGTCGTCTTCTTTTGTTGTTCCCAACCGCGCGAGCTCGAGCTCGCAAAACCCGCATGTAAATGAATTGCACGGGATGGACGCGCACGACTGGGGCGACGCCCGCACTGTAGCGTGACTCTCCGTGACAAGGGACCCTGCGCACGACTGGCGCGCCGCCCACTCTTCCACGTGACTCTTCGCGGCAGGGGCCCTGCCCGATCTGAAGGCCCACTGCTTGCAAAGTCCTTGGAGGGTTTTTTTTTCCCCCGACTGCGCGAGCTCGAGCCGCAAAACCCGCATGTAATGAAATGCACGGTGTATGGTACGCGCGTCCGACTGGCGCGAAACGCCCGCACTGTAAGCGTGACTCTCACGTGACAAGGGCCCTGGCGCACGACGGGCGCGCGCCGCCCACTCTTCCACGTGACTCTTCGCGGCAGGGGACCCTGCCAGATCTGAAGCCCACGGCTGACAAGTCCTTGAGGGTGGAGGACATAGGGGACGGTGAAGACACGCATGGCTTTCTCCCCCCCCCCCATCGGCCAACGGGTCCCGTCCCAATCGAACAAGTGTCATCTTCAAATCTGTTAGGCTCGGTAATCCCACCAGCCCTGTGGGCGTGAGTGGTTTAGCGAGCTTTCTCTGTCCTCAACCCCCCAACCCCCCTTCTCCCCCTTCGGGGAGGGGTTTACCCCTCCCCCTACCCCCTCCCCCTGGACCTGGAGAGGGGGCGCCGCGGGTGGTTGGTGGGGTCTTTTTCGATTCCTGGGAGAGCCACGAAACGACGACCCTCACGAGGATTCTAGCCCCGAGGGGGGGGGAGGGAGTTTGGCGCCTGAACTCGTCGTTGAAGTAAAAAAACATTGATTTTACTACGGTGTTGGCCCCATTTTGGCCTTCTGAGGGGGCCGCGTTCCTCTTCCTTCTTGGCAAAATCATTGATTTTACGAAGGTTTTGGGCTGATTTTGTCTTTCTCAGGGGTCAGCGCTTACTAGCGCTTCTGAGGAGGTCGCAAGAGACCCCAAGATAGCCCCAAGAGGCCCCCAGGAGGCTCCCAAGAGGCCTCCAGGAGGCCCCCAAGAGGCCCTAGAGGTCCCCTCGAGGCTCCCAAGAGGCCCCAAGAGGCTCCAAGAGGCCCCCAAGACGCCCCCAAGAGGCCCCCAAGAGGCCCCCCAGACGCCCCAAGAGCTCCAAGAGGCCCCCAACAGGCCCAACGAGGAGCCCGAACGACTCACACCAGGACGACAGACCCCAACGACTCACACCACGAGGAGCCCGAACGAGTCACACCACAAGGACGGGCCCGAACGCCTCGCACAAAGACGAGGCGCCCGAACGACTCACACCACGAGGAGCCCGAACGACTCACACCACGACGCGGGCCCCGAACGACTCACACCACGAGGAGCCCGAACGAGTTACACCAGGAGGAGGGGACCGAACGACTCACACACAAGGAGGGGACTCACACCACGAGGAGCCCGAACGACGTACACACAATGAGGGGCCCGAAGGAGTTACACAAGGAAGGACGAGGGGCCCCAACGACTCATACCACGAAGAGCTGGAACGACTCACACATCTGCAACGCACACAGACGCGAACACTCGCATTATCTCTGGCGTGCCTGCATGTCCTCGAGCGATAGCCGCAACAACGCTGCTACAACGAGGGCGGGGCCAATGGGGCAAGAGGTGAAACATGCATCATAACAACAAGTGGCCCCAAGAGGCCCCAAGAGGCTCCCAAGATGCCCCCAAGACGCCCCCAAGAAGCCCCAAGACGCCTCAAGAGGCCCCCAAGAGGCCCCCATGAGACCCCCAAGAGGCCCTCACGAGGCCCCGAGAGCCTCCAAGAGGCCCCCAAGAGGCCCCACGAGGAGACCGAACGACTCACCTAGGGCCGAGGAGCCCCAACGACTCTCACCACGAGGAGCCCGAACGACTCACACACAAGGAGGGGCCCGAGCGATTCATACCAGGACGAGGTGCCTGAACGACTCACACTACGAGAGCCGAACGACTCCACACCCAGGACGAAGAACCCTGAACCACTTCACATATAAAGGCTACCAGCACAACGGCAATCAATACCATAGCCGGCACATCGGAGAGCACTGATCGATGCCCAAGCCAACAGGAAAAACCAGGCTCATAACCACAACCCAAGAAAATCTAAATACCTAGGGACAATGACTGAAACGGGCAGCACGAAGCCAGAGCGGAGGACAGCAGGACTGTGAATAGGACACACATGTTTTGCCCATCGGGATCCCTACGGTCTCTTCCATGATGCCGTGAACATCCTCCACCGAGATGTTACTCATTAGAACTCAACCTGACTACTACTCCTACTACGACTACTACTACTACTACTGCTACTACTGCTACTACTGCTACTACTACTACTACTACCACTACTCATTCTACTACGCCTCACATCACGAGGAGCCCGAACGACTCACACCAAGACGAGGGACCCGAACGACTCCCACCACGAAGAGCCCAACCGAATCACACCAGGAGGAGGGGCCCCAACGACTCACACCAGGACGAAACGCCCGAACGACTCACACCACGAGGAGCCCGAACGACTCACACCAGGACGAGGGCCCCGAACGACTCACACCACGAGGAGCCCGAACGACTCACACCAGGAAGAGGAACCCGAACGACTCACACCAGGACGAGGGGCCCGAACAACTCACGCCACGAGAAACCCGAACGACTCACACCAGGACGAAGAACCCGAACGACTCAAACCACGAAGACCCCGAACGACTCACACCGGGAAGAAGGGCCCGACAACTCACACCAGGACGAAGAGGCCCGAACGACTCAAACCACGAGGAGCCCGAACGGCTCGCACCAGGGCCAGGGGCCCGAACGACTCACACCACGAGGAACGCCCCAACTCCACAGCCAGGAGGAAGGGCCCGAAGACTCACGACAAGGACGATAGGGCGAACGCATCACACCCCACGAGGGCCCCAACGACTCACACCCGTACTCCGTTCGACGGCGACGTCGTCTACCTCGTCTACTACTAGTACTACAACTACTACTACAACTAACTCCGACGTCTACTACTACTGCTACTCCTGCTACTACAGATACTAACTGCTACTACTACTACTACAACTAACTACTACACTACTACTACTACCACTACTCATTCTACTACGCCCACACAATCCATCACGAGGATCCGAACGAGTCACACCAGGGGACGAGGGGGCCCCGAAGACTCAACATCACCACGAAGAGCCCACAACGTCCCCCAGTCTTCGTCGTCGTCGGGTCATCGTCGCGTCGTCGTCGCCGTCGTCGTCGTCGTCGTCGTCGCCGCCGCCTGCGTCGTCGTCGTCGTCGACGTCGTCGTCGTCGTCGTCGCGGTTGTGGTCGTCGTCGGCGTCGCGGTCGAATTCGTCGTCGTCGGGTGCGTCGTCGTTGTTACGATCATCGCTGTGGTCGTCGTCTCCGCTAAATCCCTCTTGCCTCCCACCGCTTGCTCTCCCTCCTCCTCCGCCTCGTCCTTCTCCCGCTCCCACCACAAGAAGGAAGGAGGCGGAGGAAGGAAGAACAGGGGAGATATGCGGGGGCAAGCGGAAACACGCCTGAAAAACACGACTGTCCGCATGCTTCGCAAGACTTGCGCTTTGAGATGGGTGGTGGGGATGCGCGAAGCGTGAAGAATTTGGCTCGTCTGCGGAGCAACCGTCCGAACATGCACAGCGTACGTGTGCTACGCTTGTGAGGTCACCTGTCGATCGCCATTCGGGCCATGTCTTCTTGCACAGCTTTGGCTGAAAAAATGGGCAGGGTGGAACGAAAAAAAAACTGCTTGCCACACTGCTCTCGCACGCCAGCCAGCCAGCCAGCCAGGTTGCCCAGCATCACTTTGGAAGCCTGCTCGGTTTATACAATTGGAGCAACGGTGCACCTACTGGATAACAATTAAAGGCTGGAGACAATAGTCTCGTATCTCGCACCTCCCCACACCGCCGCCACCAACGCTGCCTCCAGGTCCTGCCTCCTACTGTAACGACTGGGTGGCCAGCAAGCTCCCAGCTGCTATGATGCGCCACTGGAGCAGAAAACGGAAGGAGAGCTCCCAAGACGCGGTTTCATGGCGCCCCCGCGTCGCACGAGAGGAGTGCAGTCATGCATTCAAACAGGGCCAGACGTATGTCATGATGCGATGGGCTCAGGACATGCCCCAATAATTCTGGAGAATCTGACGGCCCTCGTTTGCTGAGCCCGTGTGAAACCATGGGAGGCACAGGAGATCCTGGAAGCATCTTGGTCCTATGATAACAGAGTGCACAGTTCGCCCTGGACGCGGCTAGACGCCGGATGCCAAAAGAACAGCCTGGCACGAAGTGGCAGTAGTTTCTGGAGCAGCAGGCTCCAGGCTGCCATCATGCGCCACTGGAGCTGCAGACAGCAGGAGCGCACATCAGACGTGAATGCATGCTTCGCCACGGACGCGGCCAGACGCTGGCAAGGCAGCTCGGCACTCCAACTCACCCCAGTATCGGTTCCTACCGGCTCCAAGCCGGGTGGCACGACCGGCCGCGCCATTTCAGAGCGGGCCCGAACGCTGCGGCGGGGCTGCCGTCGCAACGGGCCTGCGCGCCCCGCGGCGCAACTCCTTGGAGATGGCGCCCGCCCAGCTCTTGGGGCTGCCGCAGGCGCCGTCGCCTTCGGCGCCTTCTGCTGCAGGCGTCGCGACCGCCGCTGGCCCGAAGCAGTCGCGTTCGTCGAGGCACAGGCGGCGCTGCCTCACGCCCACCTCCCAGGGCGAGCATGCCGGCCGCCAGACGGCAGCCGCCTTCTGCTCCCAGAACGCCTCGGACCGGAGGCGCCTGAGCGGGGCCATCCTCGACGCTGGCATCGCAGACCGCATCTGGGGGCGCCCGCTCCCGAAGCGCAGCGCCTGGAGAAGCGTTGCCTCGAAGAGCGCCGGTTCGCCGTCATCCCTCGGCAGCGCGGTGGCGCCCCAGGTCTCGTCGTGAACGTTGGCGCCCCGGTCCTCGCCGACAGCTAACAGCTCTGACGTTGGGCATCGCGTGGGGGCCGAGCTCAGCCACTCAGAGTCGGGACGCACCCCTTTGCCCTTCCTCTGCTCGGCGGGGGCCGCTTCACCTTCTTGAAGACCAGCGCGCGGGCTGAGCATGGTTGATTGGGCACTGGCCGGTTTGCGACGCACGCTGCTGATTGCGAGACCTCAGGTGGCTTGAGCCTCAACTTGAGCCAAAATGGCTACGGACGGGGCTCTCTTGGGCCGTCTTGGGGCCCTTTTGGGGGCCTCTTGGGCCGTCTTGGAGCGGTTTGGGGAGCCTCTTGGGCGGTGCCTTAGCGTCGGAAACACGAAACAGCGAGAATGCAAAAGAAAGAAAGAAAAAATGCGAAACAACGATTTTGCCCTCTCGCGGCGCTCTTGGGCGGCATCCTAAAGGCCTCTTGGGGCATCTTGGGGGCCTCCGGGGCCGTTTAAAACGCGTCGTGCGGCCTCGTGGGGGCTTCGTGGGGCCTCTTGGGGGGTTCCTGGGGGACTCTTGGGGCCTCTTGAGGGCATCTTGGGGCGGAGAGCTTGATTTTTCAATTCGCGTTCCCTCTCTTGGGCCCCTCTTGGGGCCTTTTTGGGGCCCTCTTGCGTGCGCCGTCTTCGGCGGCTCTGGGGCCGGCCGGGACCCAGGTTCCACGCCGCTTGCACCGCCCCGTGCTTGCGACACTGCGCACGGACCCTGGAAGCAAAGATTAAACTTGGCTGCACATTTGCACGAAGCCTCCAGGCATTGCGCAAGAAGTAGAATGCATCGCAAATCGAATGTCTGCTTCAGGACTGAGGCGAGGCGTCAACAAAAAGGAGGTCAGAGAACCAGTCATGTCCATGTGATGGGAGCTCATCACGGGCCCATGGTTCCAACATCGCCCTCATACGGGGGCAAACCGAATAATGTCGTAGACAATATGTATCCCTTGTACCCCTGCAACCAAACAAACAGTGCCTCGCCGCAGACCTGAAGCGCGAGGACGTACACAAGCCTCGGCACGCAAGACGGACCTGATTGACTGCAAAGTATGGGCTCACAGCCTTGCTTACCCGCTGCAAACGGAGCAACATCCTCGGCAAGGCCTCGTCGGGAACCTCGGGGAGCCACTTATTCACACGAGCCTTCAGGATCTGGAGAACAGAGCGCCCAGGGCGACGACACATGCAGGTAAGATACGTGAACAACTTACGTTGGACCGCTTTCCGAGGGACCGTCGGTGGGAGGTTGTGAAGGAAGGGTGGGAGCAGACCGTGAGCCACATACATCTGATAAGTAATACTCCTCTTCCACCAGAAACCATCAAAGCACCTAGCAATACAGCACTCATCAGATCTCATAAAGTGTCTGACGATCCCAAGCTCAGAGCGGAAGTCAGGGCAGAAAGTGGCGCGCCGTGCACGGGCAGCAAGACTGACATGTGGCAGATGCTTGATACCATTCTTCACTCCACATAAGGCAAGACCTTCGAGCAACTCATGGGGCATGGCATTCCACGGGCCGTTAGTAAGCATCTGCGCACACCGCTTATATCTACTCTCCAATTCCCTGGAGGGCGGGTAGAACTGAAGTACATGCTGTAACAGCGACAGGCACAGCACGTGAAACGTCCTTATCGCTAAACGGAGCCCAAGGCCGGCTCTGCGCACATCCAGGGTACGGTCCAGAAGCTTCGGAATGATTTCGCCCCTGGCATGGGCCTCACCCTCGGGCCCAATCATGACCCCCAAATACTTGGTAAAACGAACAACCACCAGTTGAATAAACCGAGGCCCAAGTGTGGTAACCAACTCCCGAATCCTGGCAACCGTCGCGTCACCCACAACCAAGAGGGCACATTTTTCATATTCAGCCGCAGCCCAACAGGGCCCTCCAAATCACATATCAACTCCAGAATCGGCCCCAGGCCCGTCAACGCGTTCCCAATGAAAAAGATAAGGTCGTCACGATACGCAAGCAATCGGTCCATGTGTTGGCTACCTTTATGCAGGAGCCACCTCGAGATCGGATCCGTGGCTAAGGCAAAAAGGCACATGCTCGACGGCCCCCCCTGCCGTACACTCCTCCCGATAGCAATCCAGATGTCTAAAATCACCCCACCCAGCATGATTGTCCCTGTGTTGTTGGCGTAAAGGGCACTGAAAAAAAAAAAAAAAAAAAAAAAAAAAAAAAAAAAAAAAAAAAAAAAAAAAAAAAAAAAAAAAAAAAAAAAAGGAGAAGAAGAGAGAACAGAGGCCGCCTCTGGAGCACGCTGGCAGGGCTGAGACGCTGGCAGGGGCCCGAGACCAAGCGGAAGAAGCCCGTCACGCCAGCCATGCTCGAATGGCTCCGCGGCTTTCTCCAGCGGGAGGCCAAGCTCCCCGAGGAGGATGCAGTGGTCATCTGGGCGGCCATCGTGACAGCGTTTTTCTTCCTCCTGAGGGCCTCAGAGTACCTCCTCCAGGACGGGCGCTCGCGGTCCTTCGAGCGCGTGCTGCACGGGGAGGACGTGGAGCCCAAAAAGGAGGGGAAGCGAGTGGCCAGCTTCCAGGACGCCGACGAGATGGTGATCTACATCAAGGGCAGCAAGACGGACCAGCTCAATGTCGGGACGGTGAGGAACCACTACCGCGCCGGAATGTCGCTCTGCCCGATCGCGGCGATGGAGCGGCTCCAGGCTCACCATCCTCAGCGGATAAAGGGCACCGAGGAACGGCTGCCCCTTTTCCGCTGGGCGTCAGGCACACCGATCCGCAGGGCAGAGGTGCAGCACTTCCTGACGGTCGCGGGGCTGGCCGCCGGCCTCTCCAGAGAGGAGATCGGCAGCCATTCCCTGAGGATCGGCGGGGCGACTGCAATGTACCACGTGACCGAGGACCTCTCCCGAGTGCGCCGATTCGGGCGCTGGCAGTCGGACGCGTTCCACGGCTACCTGTGGGAGTCGCACGAGCCGATGAAGGTCATCTCCGGCAAGATGGCTAGGGGCACCTCCTCGTTGACCAACCCGGCGAAAGACAGCGCCCCCAGCAGACCTGCCGCCGGCGCCGAGAGCGCCAGGCGTGAGAGCCCATGAGGGGCCGCAGCGGGCGCCGCCGGTGCTTGCGCACCTGGCGTGCGCCCAACCCAAGCCGCCGGCTCCACGCCGTGCGTGCTTGGGTGCAGCCACCAGCCACCTGCCCCGCCGGCGAGTAGCCGCGCGCTCGCAGAGTACACCCGCCCGTGCCCCCAGCACTGGCTAATACCTCACGGCAGAAGCATGCGTATAGGCTCGTCCGTCAGGGCCCCACTAGTGCCTGGGATACTGTGGGTCCCCTTGCAGCCCTGGACGAAGACCACGCTGGAACCCGCCTGGCACGCCGGCTCTCCATGCCAAGCCTGGTCGTGCCGGGCATACTGACGCCAGCCCGACAATCTGACGGCCTAGCGTGGCCGCAGCGCTTGAATTCACGCGCAGGCACGGGCCCGCGCCCCAGCGCCGGCCCGGGGAACCCCCTCTGTCAGGGGCCGGACCCTGCCCGCCCCGTGCACCTTGGGCACCTGTGGAGGCGGGGAGCCGGGAGATCTGGAGGCCGCGGCGCGGACGGGGATGCCAAGTACCGGCCCGTGCCGAGCGCCAGCGACGACACCCTCGGGCCTCAGCCCGAGGTCGGGCTCCGCCGGCAATCAAGGTACCGGCGCGAGCCCAAGGCCTAGCCTCACGGAGGACAGCCGCGCACGCCGGCATCAGTTGCCTGGCGGCAGTCGGCAGACAGAGGGCCAGTCGGGCCCCGCACGCACGCCGGCGCACACGCCAGGCGACGCGTGACTCAGTGCCTAGACGGTGCCGGCAAAACAACGCCTGGCACCCAGTTTTGGCGACGCCCATCAGGGCGCCCACACAGCACGCCGGCGCGTAGAATCCGCCAGGCGGCCAGTGCGCAGGGGCACTGGCAGCAGCACCAGTATTATAGAACAAAGGCGGCGAGGCCCGCTTCGCGTGGCGGAAGGAGGGGCCCGCCTGGCGTGTCAACGCCGGCGGGAGGAGCGTGCGGCCAGCGCAGCAGCAAAATGGGGGGGGCTGCACCGCTGCCGCCATCATCGCCATCTTCTCCTGAGGGCTCGCTTCAACCGCTTCGCGGCTGGCACGTCCCGCGGCCTTAAAGCAGGCCGCGCTTTCGCTAGCGCCGTACTGTGGGGGCGGGGTTTTAGTTGTTTGTCCTAAACGGTTGGACCCCGCCCTCCCCAGTCGGTTTGGGTTTTTTCTCTCCCTGCCCCTGCCTCTGCTTGCCCTTCCCTTTCCCTCTCTCCCGCTCAAGCCTTCGGGGCTCAAAGCCCTCCCAGGGCCCAAAGGGGCCCTCTTTTGCCCGCCCACCCTGGGCTTTGCCTCGGTGTCCTACGGCACCGGCGGCGAGGCCCGCTTCGCGTGGCGGAAGGAGGGACCCGCCTGGCGTGTCAACGCCGGCGGGAGGAGCGTGCGGCCAGCGCAGCAGCAAAATGGGGGGGGCTGCGCCGCTGCCGCCATCATCGCCACCTTCTCCTGAGGGCTCGCTTCAACCGCTTCGCGGCTGGCACGTCCCGCGGCCTTAAAGCAGGCCGCGCTTTCGCTAGCGCCGTACTGTGGGGGCGGGGTCTGTCGGCGCGCCTCGTGGCCAGGCTGGCCTCGTCATCAGGCTCCCGAAATCGAGCATCACCAATGGTGATGCTCGAGTCCCGATGGTGATTCACCATCGGGACTCGACCTCCTCTCAGGCGGAGGGCTGCTCGGCGCAGTGGGCCCAGCAACGGATGGGGGTCCCGCAGCTAGGGAAGGCGCACCGATCCTCGGGCGAGCAGCGTAATTAAGGGCAGCCATCGCTAAGCCACCCTCCGTAGCCGTCGACCCGTCTTGCTGGGTACCCCTGGCCTGGTCGCTGCCTATGCCGACCTGCCTCCCCTCCCGTAGCTCCTCGCAGCAGCGCCCCACGCGCGTCGTGCCAACAGCTCCTGCAGCGGCCCCAGCTGGAAATGTTCGTGCGGCCCCCGCATGAACCGCTGGGCTCTTGGGGGCCTCTTTCTGGCCTCCTGCATGCTGCTTGAGGCCGATTGGGGGCCTCTTGGGCTCTCTTGGGTGCCTCTTTCTGGCCTCCTTGGAGCATCCTGGACCGCTTCTTGAAGTTGTCATGGGACCTTCTTGGCATGTCTTCGGGGGCCTCTTAGAAAGACTTTTGAAGACTTTTGGGTGCCGCCTTGGGGCCTCTTGGACTTTCTTTTGGGCTTCTTGGGGGCCTCTTGGGGGCCTCTCGGGGTTTCCCGGGAGCCTCTTGGGGCCTCTTGGGGGCATCTTGGGGTGGAGAGCTTGATTTTTCAGTTCGCGTTCCCTCTCTTGGGCCCCTCTTGGGGCCTTCTTGGGACCCTCTTCGGGTGCTTCCCTGCTCCTGTCATCACCGATGGCAGCGTCCCTGCCGTCGTGCTCGCAGCCACGATTGCTGGCTCATTGAGCCAGCATCGCTGTGAAGAATGTGGCCGCCTTGGATCCCGCAGCAACGACCGTCGGCTCATTGAACCCGCATCGCTGTGGAACGACCCACTCGTCTCACCAAACACGGCAGCAAAATCCAAGCATCAAAATGGCAGTACTGCACTGCTCGCTCTGGAGAGCCTCAATGATCAGCCTCTAGAGAGCCTCAATGATCAATGGGACCCTCTTGCGCCGTCTTGGGCGGCTCTGGGGCCGTCTCGGGGCTCTCTTGGGCCGTCTTGGGGCCCTCGTGGGGGCCTCTTGGGGCCTCTTGGGAGCCTCACGGGACCTCTTGGGGGCGGAGAGCTTGATTTTTCAGTTCGCGTTCCCTCTCTTGGGCCCCTCTTGGGGCCAATTTGGGACCTTCTTGCGCCGTCTTGGGCGGCTCTGGGGCCATCTCGAGGCTCTCTTGGGCCGTCTTGGGGCCCTCTTGGGGGCATCTTGGGCCGCCTGGGAGCGGTTTTGGGAGCCTCTGGGGCGGTGGGTGCTTTAGCGCCGGGAACATGAAACAACGAGAATGCAAAAAAAATAAGCAAAAATGCAAATCAACGATTTTGCACTCTCCGGGCGCTCTTGGGCGGCATCTTAAAGGCCTCTTGGGGCGTCTTGGGGGCCTCCGGGGCAGTGTAAAACGCATCGTGCGATCTCTTGGGGGCCTCGTGGAGCCTCCGGGGGCTTCCTGGGGGCCTCTTGGGGGCATCTCGGGGCGGAGAGCTTGATTGTTCACTTCGCGTTCCCTCTTTTGGGCCTCTTTGGGTCTTTCTTCGGACCCCCTTGTGCCGTCTTGGGCGACTCTGGGGCCATCTCGGGGCTCTCTTGGGTCGTCTTCTTTTGTTGTTCCCAACCGCGCGAGCTCGAGCTCGCAAAACCCGCATGTAAATGAATTGCACGGGATGGACGCGCACGACTGGGGCGACGCCCGCACTGTAGCGTGACTCTCCGTGACAAGGGACCCTGCGCACGACTGGCGCGCCGCCCGCACTTCCACGTGACTCTTCGCGGCAGGGGGCCCTGCCAGATCTGAAGGCCACGGCTGCAAAGTCCTTGAGGGTTTTTTCCCCCGACTGCGCGAGCTCGAGCTCGCAAAACCCGCATGTAAATGACATGCACGTGATGGACGCGCGTCCGACTGGCGCGACGCCCGCACTGTAGCGTGACTCTCCGTGACAAGGGACCCTGCGCACGACGGGCGCGCCGCCCACTCTTCCACGTGACTCTTCGCGGCAGGGGACCCTGCCAGATCTGAAGGCCACGGCTGCAAAGTCCTTGAGGGTGGAGAGCATATTGGGACGGTGAAGACACGCATGGCCTTCCCCCCCCCCATCGGCCAACGGGGCCCGTCCCAATCGAACAAGTGTCATCTTCAAATATGTTAGGCTCGGGTAATCCCACCAGCCCTTCGGGCGTGAGTGGTTTAGCGAGCTTTCTCTGTCCTCAACCCCCCAACCCCCCTTCTCCCCCTTCGGGGAGGGGTTTACCCCTCCCCCTACCCCCTCCCCCTGGACCTGGAGAGGGGGCGCCGCGGGTGGTTGGTGGGGTCTTTTTCGATTCCTGGGAGAGCCACGAAACGACGACCCTCACGAGGATTCTAGCCCCGAGGGGGGGGGAGGGAGTTTGGCGCCTGAACTCGTCGTTGAAGTAAAAAAACATTGATTTTACTACGGTGTTGGCCCCATTTTGGCCTTCTGAGGGGGCCGCGTTCCTCTTCCTTCTTGGCAAAATCATTGATTTTACGAAGGTTTTGGGCTGATTTTGTCTTTCTCAGGGGTCAGCGCTTACTAGCGCTTCTGAGGAGGTCGCAAGAGACCCCAAGATAGCCCCAAGAGGCCCCCAGGAGGCTCCCAAGAGGCCTCCAGGAGGCCCCCAAGAGGCCCTAGAGGTCCCCTCGAGGCTCCCAAGAGGCCCCAAGAGGCTCCAAGAGGCCCCCAAGACGCCCCCAAGAGGCCCCCAAGAGGCCCCCCAGACGCCCCAAGAGCTCCAAGAGGCCCCCAACAGGCCCAACGAGGAACCCGAACGACTCGCACCAGGACGACAGACCCCAACGACTCACACCACGAGAAGCCCGAACGAGTCACGCCACAAGGAAGGGCCCGAACGCCTCACACCAAGACGAGGCGCCCGAACGACTCACACCACGAGGAGCCCGAACGACTCACACCACGACGCGGGCCCCGAACGACTCACACCACGAGGAGCCCGAACGAGTTACACCAGGAGGAGGGGACCGAACGACTCACACACAAGGAGGGGACTCACACCACGAGGAGCCCGAACGACGTACACACAATGAGGGGCCCGAAGGAGTTACACAAGGAAGGACGAGGGGCCCCAACGACTCATACCACGAAGAGCTGGAACGACTCACATATCTGCAACGCACACAGACGCGAACACTCGCATTATCTCTGGCGTGCCTGCATGTCCTCGAGCGATAGCCGCAACAACGCTGCTACAACGAGGGCGGGGCCAATGGGGCAAGAGGTGAAACATGCATCATAACAACAAGTGGCCCCAAGAGGCCCCAAGAGGCTCCCAAGATGCCCCCAAGACGCCCCCAAGAAGCCCCAAGACGCCTCAAGAGGCCCCCAAGAGGCCCCCATGAGACCCCCAAGAGGCCCTCACGAGGCCCCGAGAGCCTCCAAGAGGCCCCCAAGAGGCCCCACGAGGAGACCGAACGACTCACCCCAGGACGAGGAGCCCCAACGACTCTCACCACGAGGAGCCCGAACGACTCACACACAAGGAGGGGCCCGAGCGATTCATACCAGGACGAGGTGCCTGAACGACTCACACTACGAAGAGCCCGAACGACTCACACCAGGACGAAGACCCTGAACCACTCACACCAGCACAACGGCAATCACTACCATAGCCGGCATCGGAGGAGCCACCGATGCCAAGGCAACAGGAACCGGCTCAGGAACCACAACCCAAGAAAAGCTAAATTCCAGGGACATGACTGAAACGAAACACACGAAGCAGAGGCGGAGGAGGAGGACTGTGAAGAGGACACACATGTTTTGCCATCGAGCCCTACGGTCTCTGCCATGATGCCGTTGAACATCCTCCAGCGAGATGTTTACTACATTAGAACTCACCTGACTACTACTACTACTACTACGACTACTACTACTACTACTACTGCTACTACTGCTACTACTACTACTACTACTACCACTACTCATTCTACTACGCCTCACATCACGAGGAGCCCGAACGACTCACACCAAGACGAGGGACCCGAACGACTCCCACCACGAAGAGCCCGAACGAATCACACCAGGAAGAGGGGCCCCAACGACTCACACCAGGACGAAACGCCCGAACGACTCACACCACGAGGAGCCCGAACGACTCACACCAGGACGAGGGCCCCGAACGACTCACACCACGAGGAGCCCGAACGACTCACACCAGGAAGAGGAACCCGAACGACTCACACCAGGACGAGGGGCCCGAACAACTCACGCCACGAGAAGCCCGAACGACTCACACCAGGACGAAGAACCCGAACGACTCAAACCACGAAGACCCCGAACGACTCACACCGGGAAGAAGGGCCCGACAACTCACACCAGGACGAAGAGGCCCGAACGACTCAAACCACGAGGAGCCCGAACGGCTCGCACCAGGGCCAGGGGCCCGAACGACTCACACCACGAGGAACCCGAAGAACTCACGCCAGGAGGAGGGGCCCGAAGGACTCACACAAGGACGATAGGGACGAACGCATCACCCCACGAGGGGCCCCAACGACTCACACCAGTCGTCGTCGACGTCGTCGTCGTCGTCGTCCTCGTCTACTACTACTACTACTACTACTCCGACGACTACTACTACTGCTATTCCTGCTACTACTGCTACTACTGCTACTACTGCTACTACTACTACTACTACTACTACTACTACTACTACTACTACTACCACTACTCATTCTACTACGCCTCACATCACGAGGAGTCCGAACGAGTCACACCAGGACGAGGGGCCCGAACGACTCACACCACGAAGAGCCCAACAACTCCCACCAGTCGTCGTCGTCGTCGTCGTCGTCGTCGTCGTCGTCACCGTCGTCGTCGTCGTCGTCGTCGCCGCCGCCTTCGTCGTCGTCGTCGACGTCGTCGTCGTCGTCGTCGCGGTTGTGGTCGTCGTCGTCGTCGCGGTCGGTATCGTCGTCGTCGTCGGGTGCGTCGCCGTTGTTAGGATCATCGCTGTGGTCGTCGTCTCCGCTAAATCCCTCTTGCCTCCCACCGCTTTCTCTCCCTCCTCCTCCGCCTCGTCCTTCTCCCGCTCCCACCACAAGAAGGAAGGAGGCGGAGAAAGAAGAACAAGGGAGATATGCGGGGGCAAGCGGAAACACGCCTGAAAAACACGACTGTCCGCATGCTTCGCAAGACTTGCTGCTTTGAGATGGGCTGGTGGGGATGCGCGAAGCGTGAAGAATTTGGCTCGTTTGCGGAGCAACCGTCCGAACATGCACAGCGTACGTGTGCTACGCTTGTGAGGTCACCTGTCGATCGCCATTCGGGCCATGTCTTCTTGCACAGCTTTGGCTGAAAAAATGGGCAGGGTGGAACGAAAACAAAAAAACTGCTTGCCACACTGCTCTCGCACGCCAGCCAGCCAGCCAGCCAGGTTGCCCAGCATCACTTTGGAAGCCTGCTCGGTTTATACAATTGGAGCAGCGGTGCACCTACTGGATAACAATTAAAGGCTGGAGGCAATAGTCTCGTATCTCGCACCTCCCCACACCGCCGCCACCAACGCTGCCTCCAGGTCCTGCCTCCTACTGTAACGACTGGGTGGCCAGCAGGCTCCCAGCTGCTATGATGCGCCACTGGAGCAGAAAACGGAAGGAGAGCTCCCAAGACGCGGTTTCATGGCGCCCCCGCGTCGCACGAGAGGAGTGCAGTCATGCATTCAAACAGGGCCAGACGTATGTCATGATGCGATGGGCTCAGGACATGCCCCAATAATTCTGGAGAGTCTGACGGCCCTCGTTTGCTGAGCCCGTGTGAAACCATGGGAGGCACAGGAGATCCTGGAAGCATCTTGGTCCTATGATAACAGAGTGCACAGCTCGCCCTGGACGCGGCTAGACGCCGGATGCCAAAAGAACAGCCTGGCACGAAGTGGCAGTAGTTTCTGGAGCAGCAGGCTCCAGGCTGCCATCATGCGCCACTGGAGCTGCAGACAGCAGGAGCGCACATCAGACGTGAATGCATGCTTCGCCACGGACGCGGCCAGACGCTGGCAAGGCAGCTCGGCACTCCAACTCACCCCAGTATCGGTTCCTACCGGCTCCAAGCCGGGTGGCACGACCGGCCGCGCCATTTCAGAGCGGGCCCGAACGCTGCGGCGGGGCTGCCGTCGCAACGGGCCTGCGCGCCCCGCGGCGCAACTCCTTGGAGATGGCGCCCGCCCAGCTCTTGGGGCTGCCGCAGGCGCCGTCGCCTTCGGCGCCTTCTGCTGCAGGCGTCGCGACCGCCGCTGGCCCGAAGCAGTCGCGTTCGTCGAGGCACAGGCGGCGCTGCCTCACGCCCACCTCCCAGGGCGAGCATGCCGGCCGCCAGACGGCAGCCGCCTTCTGCTCCCAGAACGCCTCGGACCGGAGGCGCCTGAGCGGGGCCATCCTCGACGCTGGCATCGCAGACTGCATCTGGGGGCGCCCGCTCCCGAAGCGCAGCGCCTGGAGAAGCGTTGCCTCGAAGAGCGCCGGTTCGCCGTCATCCCTCGGCAGCGCGGTGGCGCCCCAGGTCTCGTCGTGAACGTTGGCGCCCCGGTCCTCGCCGACAGCTAACAGCTCTGACGTTGGGCATCGCGTGGGGGCCGAGCTCAGCCACTCAGAGTCGGGACGCACCCCTTTGCCCTTCCTCTGCTCGGCGGGGGCCGCTTCACCTTCTTGAAGACCAGCGCGCGGGCTGAGCATGGTTGATTGGGCACTGGCCGGTTTGCGACGCACGCTGCTGATTGCGAGACCTCAGGTGGCTTGAGCCTCAACTTGAGCCAAAATGGCTACGGACGGGGCTCTCTTGGGCCGTCTTGGTGCCCTTTTGGGGGCCTCTTGGGCCGTCTTGGAGCGGTTTGGGGAGCCTCTTGGGCGGTGCCTTAGCGTCGGAAACACGAAACAGCGAGAATGCAAAAGAAAGAAAGAAAAAATGCGAAACAACGATTTTGCCCTCTCGCGGCGCTCTTGGGCGGCATCCTAAAGGCCTCTTGGGGCATCTTGGGGGCCCCCGGGGCCGTTTAAAACGCGTCGTGCGGCCTCGTGGGGGCTTCGTGGGGCCTCTTGGGGGGTTCCTGGGGGACTCTTGGGGCCTCTTGAGGGCATCTTGGGGCGGAGAGCTTGATTTTTCAATTCGCGTTCCCTCTCTTGGGCCCCTCTTGGGGCCTTTTTGGGGCCCTCTTGCGTGCGCCGTCTTCGGCGGCTCTGGGGCCGGCCGGGACCCAGGTTCCACGCCGCTTGCACCGCCCCGTGCTTGCGACACTGCGCACGGACCCTGGAAGCAAAGATTAAACTTGGCTGCACATTTGCACGAAGCCTCCAGGCATTGTGCAAGAAGTAGAATGCATCGCAAATCGAATGTCTGCTTCAGGACTGAGGCGAGGCGTCAACAAAAAGGAGGTCAGAGAACCAGTCATGTCCATGTGATGGGAGCTCATCACGGGCCCATGGTTCCAACATCGCCCTCATACGGGGGCAAACCGAATAATGTCGTAGACAATATGTATCCCTTGTACCCCTGCAACCAAACAAACAGTGCCTCGCCGCAGACCTGAAGCGCGAGGACGTACACAAGCCTCGGCACGCAAGACGGACCTGATTGACTGCAAAGTATGGGCTCACAGCCTTGCTTACCCGCTGCAAACGGAGCAACATCCTCGGCAAGGCCTCGTCGGGAACCTCGGGGAGCCACTTATTCACACGAGCCTTCAGGATCTGGAGAACAGAGCGCCCAGGGCGACGACACATGCAGGTAAGATACGTGAACAACTTACGTTGGACCGCTTTCCGAGGGACCGTCGGTGGGAGGTTGTGAAGGAAGGGTGGGAGCAGACCGTGAGCCACATACATATGATAAGTAATACTCCTCTTCCACCAGAAACCATCAAAGCACCTAGCAATACAGCACTCATCAGATCTCATAAAGTGTCTGACGATCCCAAGCTCAGAGCGGAAGTCAGGGCAGAAAGTGGCGCGCCGTGCGCGGGCAGCAAGACTGACATGTGGCAGATGCTTGATACCATTCTTCACTCCACATAAGGCAAGACCTTCGAGCAACTCATGGGGCATGGCATTCCACGGGCCGTTAGTAAGCATCTGCGCACACCGCTTATATCTACTCTCAAATTCCCTGGAGGGCGGGTAGAACTGAAGTACATGCTGTAACAGCGACAGGCACAGCACGTGAAACGTCCTTATCGCTAAACGGAGCCCAAGGCCGGCTCTGCGCACATCCAGGGTACGGTCCAGAAGCTTCGGAATGATTTCGCCCCTGGCATGGGCCTCACCCTCGGGCCCAATCATGACCCCCAAATACTTGGTAAAACGAACAACCACCAGTTGAATAAACCGAGGCCCAAGTGTGGTAACCAACTCCCGAATCCTGGCAACCGTCGCCGTCACCCACAACCAAGAGGGCACATTTTTCATATTCAGCCGCAGCCCAACAGGGCCCTCCAAATCACATATCAACTCCAGAATCGGCCCCAGGCCCGTCAACGCGTTCCCAATGAAAAAGATAAGGTCGTCACGATGCGCAAGCAATCGGTCCATGTGTTGGCTACCTTTATGCAGGAGCCACCTCAAGATCGGATCCGTGGCTAAGGCAAAAAGGCACATGCTCGACGGCCCCCCCTGCCGTACACTCCTCCCGATAGCAATCCAGATGTCTAAAATCACCCCACCCAGCATGATTGTCCCTGTGTTGTTGGCGTAAAGGGCACTGAAAAAAAGGAGAAGAAGAGAGAAGCAACAACAAAAAAAACACGCAGATCGCTGTCGGCATACCCATGGTATAGAGCACCTGAAGCATCCACACAACGTGAATCGACGGAAATGCCGCCGCAAAGTCCGTCAGCAACTGCAGGCTATATGGGGCACCTCCAAGAGATTGCTGAAGTCCCCACCTATCAGCAATCCGCCGACCCCTTGGGGTTCATCGGCGCATGAGATGTCCCCCCTCCCCAAACCCTTCCCCCGGGAGCCCGGTCCGGTCGATTTGGAGGATGGGGGGGGGGGGTCGGGCCGGATCCCCCGGATAGGAACGGAGGGGTCATCCGCTCCCGAAAATCGTGCAAAACCTTGTGAAAATCGTGCAGGGACTCCTCTGGTGGCCTCGACATGGCTCTGGGACGCCCAACGAGCGCTCCGAGCCGCCCAAGGTGGCCCAAAGACGGGCCACGAGGCGTCCTCGACGGCAGAAGAGGCCCCCACGAGCCCCCCCGAGGGCCTCCGAGATGCGTTCCACGAGGGTCTCTAGACGCAAAAATTGGCCCATTCCTTTCGTGAAACGTACATTTTTCACAAATTCGGCTTTGGGCCTTCCCGATGCTCCCCGACGGCCCAAGAGGCCCCCAATCCCGCTCGCAGACGGCCCCAGGAGCCTCGCAGCGGGTGCCCCACATACCAGGTAAGAGGGCCCCAAGACGGGCCAACAAGCCCAAGAGGGCTCCGAAAACGGCCCCAAGAGCCCTCCAGGAGCGTCCCAAGTGGCCTCCACAAAGCTCCACACGGTCCCAGACGGTCCAAGAGCGATCACAAACATCGACGACGGCCTCCCGACGGCTCAACAGGCCCCCAAGACGGCCCGAGAGGCATCCAAGATTCGCCCGTTCCCTTCGTAAAACGTATGTTTTTTTTGTTGTTTTTCACACGTGCGCCTTTTGGGGTGCCCCCCGCTCCTGGACGGCCCCAGAGCCCCCCAAACCCGCTCCCAGACGGCCCAAGACGCCTCCAAGAGGGTTCCCCATATAGCCCTAGAGGGCCCCAAGACGGGCCAACAGACGTCCAAGACGGCCCAAAAAGCGCTCAGAAAACGGTCCCGACAGCGCTCCAGGAGCGCCCCGAGTGGCCTCGAAGAGAGCTCCGCATGGTCCCCGACGGTCCAAGAGCGATCAAAAACACTGACGACGACCTCCAGACGGCTACAGATGCCCCCAAGACGCCTCAAGAGGCATCCACGATGCGCCACAAGAGGGCCTCTAGACGCACAAAAACGCCCGTTCCCTTCGTAAAACGTATATTTGTTTCTCGCACGTGCTCCTTTTGGGGTGTTCCCCGCTCCTGGGCGGCCCCAGAGCCCCCCAAGACCGCACCAGGACGGCCCAAGAAGCCTCCACGAGGGCCCCGCGACAGCCCAAGAGGGCGCCAAGACGGGTCAAGAGGGGCCGAGGACGGCCCAAGAGAGCCCCGATGACGGCGCGCGCGCGCGACTCGCGGTCAGATTCCTCGCAACTTGCGTTGCTTCCCGCCGCGCTCGTCACTTGCTTCCGCAGGGCGTTTCGGCGGGTCTCTTCGAGGCGCCCGTCCCGCCTTATAGCACTTGGCGCAAACCACCAGACTGCCTCGGTGGAAATAATTATTCTTCTGGTCTTTCGAGAGATGGCCGCCGTCAGTGAACGCTGGCTTTGATCCGTCCTTTTTCACGGGACATGCGGAGCATTCCAACTTCTTCGCCATCTGCCTTTGCTCGTGGCACGCTCGGCACACCACCGAGCGATGGGCCGAACCCTTCTTGAAGAAGGCGTTCACTTGCTTATCTGTCAGATGCGTCCTGTCCGGCAATTCTCGCTCTTTCCCATCTGCTCCTTTCGGGCGCGCGGGGCACGTGAGCACTCGCGACTGATTGCGTTCTTCCTGGCACGCGCGGCACATGACTGGGCGATGGTCCGAGCCCTTCGCGAAGAAGTGCTCCACTTGCTTATCTGTCAGATGCGTCCTGTCCGCGAACTACCGGCCTGTTCCATCTGCTTCTGTCGGGCGCGCGGAACACCTGAACACCCGCGAGCGCCTGTGATGCGCGTCGCAGTCTCGGCATTTCACTGGCCTATGGCCTGCGCCCGTCTGATAATAGTGCTTGGTATGGTCTGCTGTCAGATGTCTCGCGTCCGTGATTTCCCGCTCTCGGGCCCTGGCCGAAGGCCCCGCCGGACACACCTGACCCCGAAATCCCCCAGATCGCCTCCAGGTCGCGCCAAGAGGGTCCACCAGGCGACGGGGCGACCCGCGAGAGCTCCAGGACGGCTCCCGAGAGGTTCATGGCGCGCCAAAACAGCCTCAGAGGACGCCGAGACGGTTCCGCTTAAGGTCAGGAAGGGCCAAGATAGCTTCACGCTGGCCTGAAACGATTGAAGGTCACCCCGCGGCCGCCCCCGACGGTTCCAAAAGACACCGCAAAGCAGTTCTGAGGTCAATACCACAGTCCTCGGCGACAGATGGCGACGGCCAAGACGGCCGAGAAGAAACCCAGATCGCCCCATGACAGCCCAAGAGAGGCCGATGACAGCCCAAGAGAGCCCCAAGACAGCCCAATACTGCCACAGGACGGCCTAAGGGGCCCCAAGACAACCCAAGAATGCCCCCAGAATGGCCCAGGGGCCTCAGACCACCCAAAGAGGCGACCAGACCGCTGCGCGATTCTTCATAAAGGGTCGGCGGATCTGGCGCAAGCCTGAAGAATCACGATATTCGACGAGATATCCCGCCCCTTGACTCCACCCCTCTGGCCCCCATGCACAGCGCGCTCCGCAAGCCGCGCAAGCGGAGAGCCACGTGCAAGCGACATAATCTTCGCGTCCGAGTCGCAAAGAGCCAGGGGCCTCGTCACCTCTGGGCTCCGAGTGATACTATGGGAGGTATCATCGGGGCAAGCCCCTTTGGGCAAGAAGAAGAGTAGCATGTCCCTCATATTGTGGGGTAAAGTGATGCTATGGATAATATAAAGCTTAAGGTAGAGATCATAGAGCAGTTCAATGCCACCCTCCACTTGCCAGGCAGCATAAGGCAAACCGTCTGTACCTGGAGCAGTGCTGCGCCTCCACTTCACCCGATCGGCAAAGCTGTCGTAGTCGAGCATCCACTCAGGCCGTTGGGCCACGGGTGGATCTTCAGCTCAACGGCAAAACTGCAAGAGCTCAGGCCAGAGCGTGCGATCAACCTCTCTCTCACGAAAGACCTCCCCACAATGGTAAGCCAGTTCCCTCCCCCCTTCCTCTGCGCCAGCACAGACCGCGCCGTCAGACTTACGAATACCGTTCAGAAACACGCGCCGTCGGAACTGCTGCCAGAAGAGCCGACTACGCTGAAGCTTATTATTCACGCGGTCCTGCTCGATCTCATCCTCCACCACAGCCCCGCCGCTAGCATTTTCCATATCCCGTTCCTGCTGCTCAATATGTTCCAGCTGAAGGTGTGCAGCGTGCGCGCATAAGGCATTCAAATCCGTGCATGCGAGCCGTTCAACATCGAACAGAACTTCTAGACATGGGCATGCCACAAAAGCTCGCGCACAAAGGTGGAACTGCCGCAATCTAGCCCCCCGCGCAGCATTCATCGTCCAGTAATGTTGTTCCACGAGCCCGACAGCCGGGCGGCAACTAATCGTTCGGCGGACTCCAACTAGACTGGCCTGGATCCGTTCCTGGGCCCACTGCACTCGTGCCGACGCTGGAACATCCGCTGGAAGCGCCGAAAAAATCGCACTGGCAGCCTCCTTGTGCTCTGGTGTGCGGCATAGCCAAACGGGGACACAACGTGACCGTCGAGGATCGAACTTCGCGATCGAGAACACGATGGGTCGATGGTCGGAGGGGCAACGGTCCAGGGGCCCATGCACCGTCGTCGTCGCCGTAAGGTCAGCGAGCACGGCACTGGGGGCGTCACTATAAGCCCGATCGAGCCTGGATGCATGGCGAGCAGTGGCCTCAGCATTCCAACCGAGCCGTGTCGGTTCATGCTGAATGTACTCTAGCCAGCGCTCACAAACACGATTGAACAGATCATGGTGCGGCCCATCTCCCTCACTCCAATGCTGACCATCCTCCGTCATCCTCCCTTCACCCCACAACGTAAAGTTCCAATCTCCCAGCGCAATATTGAGAGACTGCACGCCATTAGGCAACCGAGCAGTGAGACCACGAAGGGCACGCTCGTACATCGGCAACCCTTGGTTAATATTGGGCACGTGACAATTGGCAATCGCCGCGCAACCTTCCCCCCCCCCCCCCCCTCAATTCCGTGATCAAAATCCTCCCGCCCGCCGCGACCGCGCGGTTGATATCTGCAAACTGCTGCCGCAAACGATCGTTCATCACTGTGACCACTCCGCCCGCGGCCGTCGAGCGGAGAAAACTCGCGCCAATCTCAACGCGCCGCAAACGCTGAGGTAACACAACCACGCCCCCCTCATGACCATGGCACTCCTGGAAACAAACCGCATCATACTTCGCACGGCGTCCCAAAGCATACGCAAACTTCCTTGCGCAAGTTTGACTACCCCCACGAATCCCCCCAAAGAGACCGCTGGCGTTCCACGTGCAGGCCGCCGCAGAGAAGGGGGCTGTAAGCGACGCCTCGGGCCTCAGGGAACACCTCGGGAGCCCCGTTTGGGTCTGCCAGTGGAAGTAGCCTAAGAGCTTTATTCGTATACCTAAACAGGCTGCAAACTTCAAGTTCAACTTCCCCCCCGAAAGGAAGGGGGCGGGTCGGCTGAACGCCCCGCGGAAGCTGTTGAAACCAGCAAAGGATTCTCTTGCAATCTAACGTGCTGGACACGACGCAGCAAGCGGTTAGCCTCGTCGCCCTCATCTTCGTGAAGGCTCCCAATCAAGGCTCGCCCAGCTGCACCCACTCGCGCCTCGCGCACTTCGCAGTCCGTGCTGCGCCGTGCCTCATCAAAAGGGAGCCGCCATCGCCGCCCTGACCGCAGGCAATATTGCCTGAAGGCCCAGGCTCACGAACGCAGCCTCGGCTATCTCGTGCTCCACCTCGTCGCCGTTCAGCTTCAGCTGCACCGTCGTCAACGGGCATTCGGGTCTGGTGAGGACGAAGACCGCACCGCCAAAGCCGTTCGAGCCCACCTCGTAGCGCGTGCCAATGGCGTCAGTGATGACCTTCCTCACTCTCCCCATGACGAGGGAGAGCCTCCTCCCCTGCTGTTTGATGTCACGCTTGACGCGAAATTGATACTGCAGCCCATCCGCCAGAGGACTCGGGAACGCCACAGGACCACGAGCTTTGAACGCACTGGAGAAGTCTGAGCACTTAGTACCCGTCGGGAATTCCAAGATCGCTTTCCTCGACATGTCAAAGGCCTTAATAGTTATGGATGGCCACTCTCCTCGTGGCGCACAAAGATCACGCACCTGTTCGGCAGCTCGACGTAGTGTACGCCCCATCAGCGGAGACTCGAAACCCACCAGGATCAAGCGGCAGGCGCCCTCCTGCTCACGCGTCGACGCCACGTGCGGGTTGCTGCCAGCAGGCCCACCTCCAGGCTTGCTCGTCGCCATCATCTTCATCTTCCTCTCAATGTCCTCAACCTTCTGCTGGACGCCAGATTGGGTGGCCGCAATCTTCTCGTCAACGGCCGCCGCCACAGCTGTAGCAATGGCAGCCGTGGATCCTTGCTCAACCACCAGAAGACGTTGTTGTACCTGCGCCAAGTTCTGGTCATGGATCTGAAGAGCACTGCGAAACTCCTGCACCTCCTGCGCCATCGACTGCTCGATGCGCTCGATATCGGTGTTCGTACCCCTTACCTCCGTCATGAGGTCCTTGACCCAGACTGGCGGCAACTCTTTCTGCGTGTCATAGCTGGAGTCGCGGTGCCCACGGCTGTCCTCGTTTGTGTTGTCGCCAGAGCGTCCGCCTCGGCTCCGACTCCAGGACCTGTCCGAACTGGCTGACATCGAACGTGAATGGGAGCTTGCACGGTGACGCCTCGCGTAGCGGCTCTGGCTGCGCTGCTCACGCTCCTCCCTCGCAGCCTTGGCAACCGCCTTCCTCACCCTCGGGCTCATCACGGCGGAGCAGCTGCGACGCAGCAGAGTGTTGTATCAAGTGAGACTGTGAACCTGTGAATATACTAGAACACCACGTGCTTTGGCGCACGACTGGAGAAGATTGCGAGGCCTAACCTCGGGACGCTCGGGCCAACCCCTTGGCAGCGTCCAAGCTCGAAGCGTCGGGGCAACGTTTCGAACTTGAGCCAAAATGGCTACGGGGGCTCTCTTGGGCCGTCTTGGGGCCCTCTTGGGCCCTGTGGAAGCGGCTTTGGGAGCCTCATGGGCGGTGCTTTAGCGCCAGAAACACGAAACAGCGAGAATGCAATTGAAAACTGGAAACAAAAAATGAAAATCAACGATTTTGCACTCTCCGGGCGCTCTTGGGCGGCATCTCAAAGACCTCTCGGGGCGTCTAGGGGGCCTCCGGGGCAGTTTAAAACTTATCGCGCGTCGCCGGAGACCCCTGGACGGCGTCTTGGGGGTGTCTGACAATCTGGGGCCGCCGGGAGTGCTGTCTGAGGGCTCCCCGTGCCGATGACCAGTTTTTCGTCCTGAATCGTTTTTGTTGACGGTCCTAAGGCTCGGCAAGGGCCCCCGGACGCCGAAAACAGTGCAAAGAGGCACTCCAATTTTGGGGGAGGGTACCTTTGGAAAGTTGCTCATCCTTTCCAGTCGGGTTGACTGTGCTAAAGGTGCCCCTGGCCCAAGGCGCCCCCAGCTTTTCACTCCAGTTTGGAGCCTCTGTGCCTCGTCAGGGGTGCTCTGGAGGCCTTGGAGGCCTCATCGCAAGTCCTGGGGCCTCCTTGGGCCACAAGCACTTTTAGCAACTCCCGATCCTTGCCTGAGAGGGACCGGCTCAGAGGGGGACATCGAGCTGGACTCGGTGATACATCGCCGATAGGCCCCCGACAGCGCATCCGCACGCTCCTGGGCTGGCTGTCGGGCCCCTTATCGGCGATGAGTGGGTGACTGGAGGGCGATGCTTCCATCCCTGAGCCTATTCCCGATCCTCGTCACCTGGTCTTCGGGTCATGACTCGAACCTCTAGCGGCCGTCTGGGACGATCTGGGCACCCCCGCAACGCTCTCAGCGAAGCGCAGCTGCTGGATAGCATCCCGAGGCATTTAAAACCTCCAAGAACTAACAAGAACGTCCGAAAACGTGCGTTGCCCCTGACGTTGCCGTTCCTTGCCTCTCCAGGCATGGGGAGAGGAGCAGGGTCGGGCGTGTACGAACCCAGCCCAAACCGATGTTGAAACACTGAGCTCCAACTGTTTCGGGAGATCCCCGAACTGGGCACCGTCAATCTGAAAAGGCCACCTTCAGGACCACGAGCGGCTCCCAAACCTGGCTCAACCAACATGTGGCTTTGCAGGGTCCTGCAGGATCCGCGATCTGGCCGAGCCCCTTCTGCACTGAGCCCCGCACCTGTCAGCCTTGGGCGTCGCTCCATGGGGGGGCAATAACTGGGGGGGGGGGGGGGCGAAGACACGTGGACCTCTGGCGCCCCTTTTGGCCCCCAGGGGGCCTCTTTCGGGCACCTCAGGTGCACACCTCTCCCGCCCCCCCCCTACCAATTTTCTGACCCCCTGCAAGAACGCAGCGCCCCATAGCCGAGAAGGGGACGACCGACCGGGACCCGGCGCGACACGCACAGGCAGCTGGCGTGGAGGGCGGGGCGGCGGCACCTCCCGATGGAGATGCTGGACCTGGCCGTGTCGCCGCACTCCTCCTCCCTTTTCCTCCTCCTCCTCCTCCCTTTTCCCTTTTCCTCCTCCTCCTCCCTTTTCCTCCTCCTCCTCCCTCTTCCTCCTCCTCCTCCTTTTTCCTCCTCCTCCTGCTGGTCCTCAGCCCTCCTCCTACTCTCAAGCCACCTGGGCCCAAGGGAGCAAGCGCCTTTGCTTCACGTTGGGCAGCCCAGGTCCTGGCGCTTCATGTGGGCCGCCTCCATGCGGGCGGCCCCTGCGGCCTGAGGACGGGTCGTCTGGACCCGCAGGACCTGGTGGTCAGGAGATGGCGAAGCCGCTGCTGGAATTGTGGAAAGACGGCATCTGCGTGGGCGTGAACGCGTGGGTGTTGGCAGAGAGCATTATCGACAAGCTCCTCGCGGTGAAGTTGGTCGGCGAGGTGCCGTTGGTCGAAGGGGGCCACGGAGGCACCGCTGCCTGGAGCCGCCGAGGAGACTAACCAGAGGAGCAGCAATGAGCTGGCGGGCCAGTTCGAGTCAGAGACGGCGCTCCTCTTGGCATACTCCGTGGACTGCGACGCTAAGCTGACCGCCGAGCCCGACGCCTTGTTCCGGGGCCAGGCGATCGTGTGCATGGACCCCGCGTCGCCCGCTGTCTCAAAGCGGGAGGGCGAGACGAGCGAGTTCTACATCGGTTCGGTGGACGCGACCACTGAGTGCGACAAGGTGGATATTATGCAGCGCCTTGCAGAGGAGCTGGCGCAGGAGCACGGTGACGCGAAGGCGCTGCCGGAGGCGCTGACAGAAGAGCTGGGAGCCAACTTCGCGTCGTGGGAGGCCTTGCGGAGCCAGGCTGCTCGAGAAAAAGGAGGACGCGGAGGAGAAGATAACCCCCACCCCGAGTCGCAGGCGGACCGCATCCCTCCTTGCGGGCTGGCGGCGACCGAGGCCCCGACGGAGCAGGCGACGTCTGATGCCGAGGCGGAGGCCGTTGGGACGTCCCTCGACGACGTGGAGGCGGAGACGAAGCGGAAGAGGGCCGCGATCCTCGCTCGCATCCGCAACGGTGTGGGATGATGGTGAGTGCACTGGAGTGCTGGGTTGGGTTCTTGTTGGGGCCCAATAGAGCCATTACATGGCGGCCGACACAACTGTCCGCAGATTCTGCTAATCTGCGATTGCAGCCCTGAGCATGTAGTCTGCGAAAACTGAAGGCACATCACCTATAATTCGATTGCATGATCAAGAACGTAGTGCTCTGGGCCCTGATGGGGCAGTCGGGCATCACATAGCATTTCTATTGCATCGCATTGCATTTCATAGCATTGACACAATCTCAATGCCCATGCCATGGTGCGTGCACTTAAGCAGTGCCTAACATACAGAAAACCAACATCGGTCGTCATATAAAACCACCGCGACGCCCTGGATGGCGGTACCCTTCAGTTTGACGCGCCCCAGGGGAAGGGCAACAATGAGGGATGATGGCGAGTGCAGGGAGGCGTCAACAAAAACGTCCTGGGCAGTCTTGAGGCCGTCTTGGGACGTATTGGACCCATTTGGCGCGACGAGGGGGACAAACGCGAGGAGGGAGGTGGGAGTGAGAATGAGGACGAGGATGGCAATAAGAAGGATGTGGACGCCAATATGACGTCGCGCTAGCTTCGGCATGAACGACATGCTGCTCATCCGCGCCCTCGCGCTCGCCGGCTGTCGGCTGGGCACAAGAAGGGCCCCAGGAGGGACTCGAGAGGGCCCCGAGAAGGTCCCAGGAGGACCCAACAGAGGTGGGGAAATGCGGCCGCGTTTCCCCACATCGATTCAAGGTTCCTGGGGAGTCCTTGGAGCCTTCTTGGAGCCCTCGAGGTGTCAATACAACCCCAAATATACCGAGTTAAGTGTACGTTCTCTTGTGTATCAGCACAGCTCAGCAGTTTCAGCATAGCAGGTGTTGCAAGCCGTTGTTTCACACGTGTGCAGCATTGAAATTTGATGTTCAGGGACCCCTGAGTCAGTTAAAAGGTGGCGTATCTTACGAGTTAATATGATTATCCAGATAATCAGTTCTATCGAACACATCCCGAGGAGACTTCGTGTGCTACCATCGGTTGGCATTGGTAGCGGAGCCGGAAATTCACTCTCTCCGGTTCCTCCGTCGCCGCCATGCCAAACGGCACGCCGCGCGTGCCGCCCCCGGCCAAGCCGCCGCTTGGCGGCCCGCCGGCAGCCTCGCCCGCCGCTCCCGCCGACACCGGCGCGAAGGGCAGCCGCATCACGCCGAGCAGCGTGGATGCGTGGATGGTAACGAGGCCAACTCTGCAAATTGAAACGGCTGGCAGGGCTGGTGGAATCGTCAGGAGAGTTCCACCTGGGACGGAGGAGAACGAGGCCTTGACGCAGGCCTGTCCAAGATGGCGCCGAGTTACGAGCTGCCGAAGACCGACGGCTATCGAGCATTTCGACGCAAGCTGGAGGTTTTCGAGCGATGCCGCAAGAAGCGCGGCACCACTGCGGTCAGTGAGGGAGCGTTTCTGGTCACGAACTCACTGCAAGGTGAGGCCGCGGAGGCTACGGAGGACATCGACCTGGACCGGCTAGAGACTGAAGAGGCTTTCAGGCCATTGTTCCAGGTGCTGGACAAGTACTACAATTACGACAACCAGACCGAACTGCCAGCCCGTACAGATCTCTTCTTCGGCAAATTCGCTCGCCAGGAGAAGGAAACGATGAACCTGTACTGCGTGCGCCACAAGAGAAGAGCTCAGGAAACTCAAGGAATTTGGGATGGAGATCCCAGATATGCTGGCGGGCTGGCACCTCCTCACACGAGCGGCTGTACCCCAATCGGGCGCCGCCCAGGTTCGGAGTCCATGCGTAGACGGCCTCTGTTGGACCAAGGTGAAGAGGGCCGTGCTCGACACGTACGGAGCCGAAGCGATGCCCGACAAGCGATATGTGTTTTTTTACACCCCAACATGATTCAAACGCAGTAGAAACATGTTAGCGCCTCGGCCTGTTCAGCGACACGGGTGGCACTACATATCAGGAACCAAACGCGTCTCAAATGCAACCTCATTGTTGCACCATGCCGAGCACTCCATGCCCCTGGACCCCTTTTTTTCAAAGCAGGGAACAGCAGCACACGGGTGGCACTACAGACGAGGAATAATTTGCGACTCGAATGCAACCTCCTTGTTGCATTTGTCTGAGGGGGTGAGGCAGAGGAGGAGGAGGAGAGAGAGGGTGATGATGATGATGATGATGATGATGATGATGATGATGATGATGATGATGATGATGAGGAGAGGAGGAGGAGGAGGAGGAGGAGGAGGAGGGGGAGGAGGAGGAGGAGGAGGAGGAGGACGGCGGCAAAATCCGTACACGTAAGTGGATATCGTCCCAGTCCACGGCGTAGGTGAAGGCCACGAAGCAGCCCGGCGTAGAAGCAAAACACCATGAAGTAGAAGAGGCGGAGGAAGAAGAATCCTGCGAGGGCCCAGAAGAAGGCGATGAGCGCCGCGATGGTCACGAAGAGAACGAGGAAGTGCTCCAGAGGGTGGCGACGATGCGCCTGAGCGGCGAATCGCGCGCGCCCACTGCGGGCGGCATTCGTGACCATGAACGTCGCATACAGGCGAAGGGCTCGCAGCGCCAACTGCGAGGTGTCGAAGCGCCGTTGAGAAGCAGGAAGTCCTCGAGCCGCTCTTCGAGGGGGGCCAATGCCAACCGGAGCCGGGTCCCAGCCAGCCTCGCCACCGCAGGACAGTTGGCGTAGTGCTGCGTGGAGTCTCGTCCTGACTGGCAGCCGAAACAGCAATGAGCTGCAAAAAGGCTGGGAACCGCGCGCGTCCAGCCGTCCATTGTGGCCTTGAAGACAGCGGCCCACACGCACGGCGGCACCACGCGGCCGATAAGCTGGAACACGGCTTCAAGACGTCGGACACGATGGCCCGGAGGGAGGGGAATGCGCCACCTGTCCAGCCGACGGCGCGCATGTCGATGAACGGCAGAGATTGACGGTTGCTTCAGAATCTGACTGCACTTCGCCTGCCACCGGCCTCTCGGGAGCGGGTTGGGCGAGGAACCCTGGAGAAGCCTGTCCACGCTCGTGTGCTCAGCGCCGGCCCGGCGCGTCAGCCTCAGCTGAGCTTTCTGGAGGTCGGCGAAGAAATTGCCGTTCAACCAGGGGAGCCACGCGGCCATCCGATCTGGGAACTGCATGAGGGCCTGCTTCGCGGAGAGGTCGACCAAGCGACGTCGAACTCGGAGCCCTCCACAGCCTGTCTCTTCCCACCGGTGAACCCGACACTTCGCGCCGAGCGCCGCGGCCTCCATGCTCGGCTCTTCCGCGGGGGAGCCCCAGCCGCGCAAGTTCTGCATCAGCTCGGGGGACGTCCAACCTCGAGCGCCAGGGAACAACACGTTGACCAACCGCCGCTCCTCCTGCTTCCAGGTTGGAGGTAGCTCCTCTAGCTGCGAGAGGAAGCCAGCCAGTGGGAACACGTACGTGCGCAGCGCAATGAGCGCGACGAGCATGCCGCCCCCAATCCCCTTCCAGACCCGCGCCCTAGCGTGCATCTTTCGGATCGCATCGTCCCAGGCCTGCGCGCCGCGGGTGGGGCCAAGCAGGAAGCCGAGGTACTTCGCGTGCCCGGTGATGCTGAAGGCGCCCCACGCGCGAGCTTCTGCTGCTACGTCGGCCCGGACCTCGTCGCACCCGCGCAGGGACAAAGGTACGACCAACGATTTCCTGGAGTGGAGCTTCAGGCAGGAGACAAACTGGTACTCGCTGATGATGATTTCCAACTGCCGAGCCTGCGACAAGTGCTGCAAGACGAGCGAGATATCATCCGCGTAGGCCCGGATCAGAACCTCAGGCGACAAGCGTCGGACACGGCGAAGCAAGACATCGGATACGATGGAGAAAAGGAGCGGCGAGAGCGGGCAGCCCTGTCTGACCCCCGTTGTGACCCCGAACCCTGGGCCTATGGCGCCACATATGGAGAGCACGCAGAAGTTGTTGTCGTACAAAACGGACACGAACCGCCGCATCCAGAGGGGCCAACCCCGTGTTTCCAAGACGCGCTGGATGAACTCCTGGCTGAGGCTGGGGAAGGCCGCCTCGAAGTCCAGGAACACTGCCACCGAGTTGTCCTTTGTGAGGGCGCAGTCCAGCATGGCCTCTTCGACGTCCATAACGTTCGCAATCATGGAACGGCCGCTCAGGAACCCGCGCTGCTCCGCCGAGATCCCCGGAGCCACGATGGGCTCGATGTGCAGACGCACGGCGCTGCCCAAAATGCGATTGTCGGTGTTGGTGATGCTGAGAAGGCGCAAGTTGCACGGGGGGAACACCTCGGTGCCATCCGGGAGCGTGGACGAAGCCTTCTTGGGCAGAAACACCATGATGCTCTCATTGAAAGACGCCCATTCCGCCCTCATCTGGTCGAAGCCGTCGGGGGCAACCATCTCCTGGCAGGCTGCCTCGAAGACGTCCGCCGCGAGATCCGCGATCTTACGCCAAGCCTTGAACGGGATGCCATCACGGCCTGGCGCGCTATTCTTGGTGAGCAGAATGGCCTTCCGGAAGGTGTCACGAGGGGCAGTGGAGTGGGGGAGGTGGTCCTGGTAGTTCGCGGGCAACTGCTGGGCATCCTCGCGCAACCACGTCGCCATGATCTCCTCGTCCACGTCGCGCCGCCGGAATACTCGCGCCCAATGCTCCCGGATCAACCGCAGCATCTCCTGGGGGTCATTAGTGACCTTGCCAGACGGCATGTCTATGGCAAGTCGCTGGCAGCTGCGGCCAGGGGCAAGGCGGCACACCAAATGGCGATTACTGCGCCGCCGGCGCGCCGCTTGAGCAGGGTCCAAGTCACGGAGGTCCTCGTGCAAGCTACTGAGTTCCTGCATGGTGAAGTCCCGCTGGAGGTCCATGATGCGACGACGCACTCGAGCCAAACGCGGGCCGGCCGGCGAAGAGAAGTCGTAAGGGTTCCGCGAGATGTGAAAGACAAGCGAGATGTGAAACGAGTGGAGAAGATGCTGGTCGGTCAGAGCTTGAAGGACAATGTGAACTACGCGAACGATTACGAGTGGGAGCGAGGCCTGCGCTACGACGACTCGTACCTGGAGGAAAAATATTCCGAGGACGACGAAGAGTACGACTACGAAGAAAAGCGGAGGAGGCCGACGTCGCGGAAGAGCTACCGCAGGAGATCGAGGGGGCCCAAATGGCGCGCGACGAGGCCTACCTCAGCTTCGCGGATGCGAAGAAGCGAATGGCGGAGATCGCCAACTCCAAAAGATTCTACCCGATCGTCGCCCTCGCCCCCGAGAACAACGTCCAGCGCGACGGCCGCGCAGGACCCGCGAGAGCGACGAGGCCCGGCACGGGCAAAGGCAAAGGACGTGGCAAAGGCAAAGGACGCAGCAAAGGATTCGGCCCACCACGACGAGAAGCTTTCAGGCCTCAGAAGGGAGCGTTTGGCAAAGGTGCACCATCATCAGCGGGGTCGACAGGTTCGGCTGCGACCCAGAAGCACGGCCAGAGGTTCAAGCGCTTCAGGCACGGAGGCTTTACCAAGCCCGACGATGAGGCACGCGTCGTGGAGGATGCTGAGACGCTGGAGCATGCTAACTCGACAGAGGAAGTGTTCCTGCAGACCATCGGCAAGGGCATCAGCGGCGGAGGCCCTACGCGGCCCGTCATGGGCGACAAAGTGCGGGCACAGTGGGAGGAGCTACTTCGTGCAAGACAGTTCCTACATGAGGTCGAGTGCAGCAAGAGTGATCGACGCTTCCGATTCGGAGATGGCAAGACGCTGGAGGCCAAGCAAGCGATGACACTCATGGTGTGGCCGTTCGGCGTCAAGAAGCAGATCGCAATCCATATCGTCGACGGCTGGACGCCGCTGCTGATCGCGCGACCCTGCATAGAAGAATGGGGCTTGATCTAGGACTACCGAGCTGGGACGTTCATGATGAAGGATCTCCCCGACAAGGGCTGGATGAAGTCCGAGCGTGACGAGAGGAACCGTTTCATCATTGGGCGCGACGCCCGAGGATACCATGAACGAGGGTGCCCTCGCCGACGGCGTTGAAAGCGGCAGCGACTCGATTGACAAGGACACTGAAAGAGAGTTGGACAGAGGCGATGATGGTGACGACGGAGACACGTCGACACCTGACCCTGGCGCCTTTTACCTTGAGACGCGGACGGAGTTCTACGAGATCGGCAGCGACGACGAGACCCTGGCCACGGAGGAGGTCATAGGCCCGGAACGCCACCTGAGGGATGCGGACAACTCCTCGGGCCTGGTCCTGGCGCCGGAAGCAGGTATCGTCCGACATGAAGGACACGCTGCGCGAACCGCGCAAGAGGCTGGTCTGGGAGGTCTTCGCAGGAACTGCTCGAGATTCCGCAGATCGAGGTGATCCAATGCAGGACCGAGGACGGTTGGGACTTCCCCGAGCCCGCCGTGATCCGCGACTTCCTGAACAAGATCGACAACGACAAGCCAGACGATATCCTCTTCGCCCCCCCGCGCAAGTACCGGCGCTCCTGGCAGCGCGTGAACGAGAAGGGCTCTGAGGAGCGCGCCAAGGAGATCAATGATGCCAGAGAGCGAGAAGAATGGAGGTTTCCCACAATGATTCTGACGGCGTTCGTGAAGCAGCAAAACGGAAGCCGACACGCGCATGTAGAAGGCCCGTGGCAGGGGCTACACTGGCGGACGAAGACACGGAGGAAGTTGCCAGGCTGTCACTGCAGGCTCGACCAGTGCACGCTAGGAGCGAAGTGCACGATCCAGGGCAAAAGTCGAGCAACAAGGAGTTCATTCACCACGTGACCCTGGCATGCGCGCGCACGGGCGACCGCGCGATCCTGCGGGGCTAGCTTGCCCAGCAGGTTGCGGAGCGAGAAGAATGGCCCGCCTGATCGCCTACCATGGTATGGCCGACGACATCGGCGACATCAACACGGCCAACGAGGTCTACAAGGACATCGGCGCCATCGAGTGCACCGACATGATGCAGGAGCTGATGAAACGATTCAACGCGTCGACGATCCATGCAGTCAAGCGTGCACATGTCAGCCTGGGTCACCCTTCGAACGCAGCGCTGGCGGTCGCCACGCAGCACGCGGGTGCCCCGGCAGAGTGGATCCAGTGCGCCAGGCTCGTGCAGTGTGAGATCTGTCTAGGCAGAGGCCCAGAGCGGTGCGCGTCGATGTGCTGCCGACGGCCATGAGGTTCAACGAGGTGGTCTGCCCCGACGTCTACTACATCACGTGGACGAGGAAGGAGAGGGAGATCCTGGCCATTATGAACGAGTTCACACGCTACCAAGTTGACTATCCGATCTCGCAAGAGACGCTTCTGAAGGAATCGAAACTATGGGAGAAGCCGTGGATAGCCAGCAAGCCTGAGACGATGCGCATGGAGATGGGAGGCTCGCAGACGGCCAAGCGCACGCGCGACTGGATGAGCAAGCGCGGCATCAAGCTCGACCTGGCCCCGAAGGGTGCGCGCCACAGGCTGGGCCAAATGTCGGGGATGGACAGACCCCCCTTTAGTAAAACGTGGTTTAGTGAAAACAGCCTGAGGCCCAAACCTGGCGGGCGCAAGCCTGGAAAATAACGGCCACGGCGCCATCTCGAGAACCGAAAACGGACAATTCACAAATCGACGTGTCACTGATGGGGGTTCTGTCCACGCCCGAAAATGTTGCGGAAACGCGCGGCCAGAAGGGGGCAGCTCAGCAAGCGCCATCTGCAGTTCGCCGAGGACTTGCTCAAGACCGCCCTCAGGATGACCACCAGCCAGCGGAACGCCCTGAAGAACGTGCACGGGTTCTCGCCCGCGGCGCTGATCTTGGGGACGCAGCCCAAGATTCCTGGCGCCCTCTGCGACCGGGACTTCGGCCTGTCAGAGCAGGCCGCGCTGGTCGACACCAAGGGCGAGGTGCACGAGATGATGATCAGGAGAACGGCTGCCGCGACGGCCATCATCGATGCCAACTGCTCGCGCGGCGTGCGAGCGGCGCTGCTGGCGCGTAGCAGGCCAACGAGGAGAAACTACGAGATCGGCGAGTGGGTCTACTTCTGGCGACCTGAGCAGACGCAGGGCTGGAGAAGTGCCGCTGGCGCGGCCCAGCTCTGGCGGCAGCAGTGGAGGCAAAGGTCAACTAGGACAACGCGATGCACGCCTCCGTGGTGCGAGCGACTCACGGGCGCGCGATCTACCGCTGCACCGCGGGGCACCTTCGCCCCGAGCTGCCGGGCGAGGCCCGCGAACGCCACTGGCGCAGCGAGGACCCCGACAGCCCGCTCAGCGCGACTGAAAAGCTCAGGCGCGTGCTCAGGCGGACGAGGGGAACCTGCAACTACCGGGGCCTTGCCGAGGAGGGGCGCCTGCCCCGGCGCGACGACCGTGGGCGACAAGGGCGAGCAGCAGCAGCCGCGCGCCCAGACGCCCATGGAGACGGAAGAGACCGACGGACCGACAGGAGCAGCTGCCGCGGCGGCCCCCGAAGACCCTCAGCTGACGACGGCCGGAGAGGACGAGGGCGGCGGACCAGCAGCGGCCAGCGCCGGCGTGGCTGGCAGCGCTGCGCAGGAGCCCATCAGGTTCCACATCGTGGCGATGGCTAAGAGAAGCGTCGAGAAGGCTGAGAAGCTGGATGGGATCCCGCTGGCCAAGCGCGTCCGCCTGTCGCGGGCCTCGAGGTTTTCAATCGCAATGACGGCTGGGGGCCCATCAGCGAGGCGGATGTGGATCCCGGAGCCTGCTGCCCCCTGCGCTTCCTGCTCAAGTGGAACATGAAGGATGGGCAGAAGGTGGCCAACGCGCGCGTACTCTAACAAAGGTTCAAGCATCGCGACGTCGCCGAGGGCCAGCTCGACAAGGAGCCGCCAGCCCTCAGCAGGCTTGACCTGGAGGCGAAGTGCAGCAGTCCCTGAGCACCCACAGCGCGACCCTCAGGCTCGAGAAAATCCTGCGCGCGGTGAAGCCCATCACCGTCGAGAAGCATCGGAGAGCCGACCCTGCGCGTGCGCTGTCGCCGCAGGAGCTGACGAACTTCGCAACCCTGAAAGGACAATTTCAGCGGCCGGCAGCCCAAGGAGCGATCATAGCAGCGGCAACTGTGTCCTCCCAAGCTTCGGCGACAGGTCGAGCCACCGCGCAGGATCCTGGATGCGAACAAGGACATGCGCTTTCTGAAGGCCCACGCTGACATAGGGCTGTACTTCGGGTTCTACAAAACCTGGGGTCAGCTGCGAATTGGCAGCTACACCGGCGCGAGCTGGGTGAGCCGACGTGACGGAAGTTCGCAAGGAGGCCGTGCAATCTTCATTGGACCCGCGGACGAGCTCGACGCCGGCACCCCCGCGCCTTTCGTGGCCATGAAATGGGGCTCGAAGAAGTTGCAGCGTCTGTGCAGGGGCTCGCTGTCAGCGGAGGCCCAGGCAGCAGCCTTGGGCGCGGACTCGCTGATGCGGGTGAAGGTCTATTGGGCGTGGACCTTGCGACCCGACCTGGAGCTCGAAGAGGCGATGGTGCACCTGGGGGAGACGCCGTTCAACACGGACGCGAAATGTCTCTACGACGCGTCGCGCTCGGCGACGGCAGCCCGGAGCATCGCGGAGAAGAGGGCGGCCATCGAGGTGGAGATCATGAACGAGCAGATGGCAGATCGGCGCCCCCTGGAAGTGGGTGAATACGCAACATCAGATGGCGGACGGACTTACCAAGCTCTCGGCCCGCCAGATAATGGCCGACGTGCTACGCCGCGGAGCGCATCCGCCACAATGCGATCCTGACTTCGCGGCCGGCAGGAAGCTATTCATGAGGGCCATGGAGCGGCGCAAGAAAGAGCTGGATGAAGCCGGCGAGGCGCCGCGCGACGCCCTGCCTGTGACGAAGGCGAAGGCGAAAGCCAAGACCAAGCGCCATTTTGGCGCGAGTGGAGCGAAGCTGGCAGCAGCATTGGCAGCTAGCGTAGGCAGCAGCGCGGCAGGCGGCAGGCCAAGTGATGCAGCGCGCGCCCATCGGAACTGAGCCGTTCAGTCCACCGACGCTGGCCGACTGGAACGACATGATTCTGAACATGAAGGCGTTCGGTTTCGCGCCGGGACTTGCGGCGGCCTTCTAGCGCGGGCTCCGCGCTGGAGCATGGCGAGCGCGCTGGACCAAGCAGATCGAGCCCGACATGAAGATCAAGGAGATGCGCGAGCCCAGCGCGGAGCCGCTGCAGCCCCGCGTCGCGACGACTACGACCGGGGCGGGCCCGAGGCCGATGAAGCTGACGAGGGCGCGCAACGTGCTCGCCCAGTCGCAGCGTCGCTACAACCAAGACCTCAGCGCACCGAGGTTCCAGCCGCTGGGCGAGGCCGACATGGGTGACTTGGTCGGCGAGGCCGACGCGCGCGCGAATGCTCCGAGGAGCGCGCCCCGCGCATGGTTCTGCCCGGCGCAGTCGCGAACGCGCCCGCATACAGGCGGATAAACATCATCAACATTTCGTGAGACACGCTGTGGCACGCGTTCGTTGCGTCGTCAAAGTCAGCGCTGAAACTTCAGCCAGCGGCCCTCCAACGATCTTGCGCCAGGCCCTGTACGAGAATAGATCCCCCCCTCCTCATATTCTCCAGATGCCCGTGCGCGCGATGCCTCGGCGTTTCGCGAGACAACGCAAGATGAAATCTCCAAAGGTACTTGTAGAACGCCTTCCCGAACGGATCTAAACTTTGAACCAGCCTCAGCCCTGCGCAATCAGCCTTCCCGCTGGCACTGCTGAGAGCGAACGCCTGAGTGCAATGCCATGTCAAGGGCGCTCCACCGTAAAATCTAACAGCGACTAAGAATGTAAACATACATTGCCCAATCGCAAGCAGGTCCCAGCTCTCTGTCTCAGCACCTAGACCAGCCCGAGCGCGCGGTTAAAACTCTGTCGACCAGGAAAGCATGCGCCGCGCGCCCGCAGGCATGGGCCGCGACGGAGGTGCACGGCGAAGCTTAGCACAAAAGCCCGAGATGTTTCCGCACCTCCTTCGTGGCAATCGTCGCATCTTGCATGTCGCCATCCCGTGGCTCGCGAGTGAGACGCGCGCCTAGCGCTCCGTCGTGCTTCGGAGCACCAGCAGAATACCCCCCCCCCCCCCCAGGCTTCGGCAGGAAGGCAGCCGTCTAGATGCATGCTTGGGGTCGAATTTAAGCGCAGCTTGGGGCCCAGCGCCTTCCGGCAAAGCTTGCGCGTTAATTCCCAAGAGACCGCGAAGGATTGCGCTTCGCAGGGATCTTCAAGCTCCAACACCCGCAGCCCGAGATTGCGATTTCTGTCGCGTCGCGCGACATGTCTCACAGAGCGGTCGGCTCTACGACACAGGGTCCTACGCACAGCTAGCTCGCACATGTCGGCCAGACACTCGCGATACTGCGCGCGAATGCAAGCGAGCGTGCCTCGCGCGGTGAGAGGGAGCAGCTCAAGCAAAGCAGAGGACGGGGCAGGGGGGGAGAGGGGAGGGGCGGAACCGGCCGAGAAGGCAATTACCTCAGGCGCAGCCTCCTCATAATGCGCAACAAAAGCGCATCTGTCGCGTCCGCGCTGCTTTTATTGGGCTTAGCATGGGGAAAATATCCTGGCGAAGGTCCCAACCATGAGCAATTGTTCGTAACGCGTTGTGGGTGCCGCTTTCGGTGGAGCTCCCTATGGGGCCACGAAGTGTCCAGGGTGGGGGAACCGCATGCGAACTGCGCCACGGGGGCCCTGGGTGGAGGTCCCTATGGGGCCACGAAACGCTGCCCTGGGTGGGGGAACCGCGTGCGATAGCAGCCACTGGGGCCTTCGGTGGGCCCCCCTATGGGGCCACGAAGCGCTGCCCTGGGTGGGGGAACCGCATGCGCACTGCGCCACGGGGGCCTTCGGTGGAGCTCTCTATGGGGCCACGAAACGCTGCCCCGGGTGGAGGAACCGCATGCGAGAGCAGCCACTGGGGCCTTCGGTGGAGCTCCCCACGGGGTCACGAAACGCTGCCCTGGGCGGGGGGAACCGCGCGCGAGAGCAGCCACTGGGGCCTTCGGTGGGGCTCCCTATGGGGCCACGAAGCGCTGCCCAGGGTGGGGGAAACGCATGCGATAGCAACCGCGGTGGCCTTCGGTCGAGCTCCCTATGGGGCCACGAAGCGGTGCCCAGGGTGGGGGGCACGCGTGCGAGAGCAACCGCTGGTGCATTCGGTGGAGCCCCCTATGGGAAAACGAACGCTGCTCAGAGCGGGGGAAGCCCATGCGAGAGCAACCGCTGGGGCCTTCGGTGGAGCTCCCTATGGGGCCACGAAACGCTGCCCAGGGCGGGGGGAACGCACGCGAGAGCAACCGCTGAGGCCTTCGGTGGAGTTCCCTATGGGGCCACGAAGCGCTGCCCTGGGCGGGGGTAACGCATGCGAGAGCAACCGCTGGGGCCTTCGGTGGAGCCCCCTATGGGGCCACGAAGCGCTGCCCAGGGCGGGGGGAACGCATGCGAGAGCAACCGCTGGGGTCTTCGGTGGGGCCCCCTATGGGGCCACGAAGCGGTGCCCAGGGTGGGGGACGCGCACGCGAGAGCAACCGCTGGCGCCTTCGGTGGAGCTCCCTATGGGGGTGCGAGCGCTGCTCAGAGTGGTGATTGGGCCACGAAGCGCTGTCCTGGATACAGGGAGACGCATGCGAACTGCGCGACTGGGACCTCGGTGGAGCTCCCCATGGGGCCACGGAATGCTGCTCTGGGTGGGAAAACGCATGCGAGAGCAACCGCAGGGGCCTTCGGTGGAGCTCCCTATGGGGCTACGAAGCGTTTCCCAAGGCGGGGGGAACGCATTCGAGAGCAACCGCTGGGGCCTTCGGTGGAGCTCCCATATGAGGCCACGAAGCGCTGCCCAGGGTAGGGAAACGCACGCGGGCACCCCCGTTGAGGCCTTCGGCGGAGCCCCGATGGCGCTACGAAGCGCTTCCCAGGGTGGGGGAAACGCATGCGAGGGCAACCGCTGGGGCCTTCGGTGGAGCTCCCTATGGGGGTACGAAACTCTGCCCAGGGCGGGGAAAACGCATGCGAGAGCAACCACTGGGGCCTTCGGTGGAGCTCCCTATGGGGCTACGAAGCGTGCGCGGGCACCCCCACTGGTGCCTTCGGTGGAACTCCTTATGATGCCACGAA